ATTAATATCCAAATTTAAGCACAGATCACACATTGAGTAACTACGTAACCAGTTAACAATATTTTTATATAAACCAGAAATTACAAGTTGTCTTCTAATTAAAAAAAAATAAATTCCATTAAATTTTATAGTATCAGTCAAAAATATTTATTTTGGGGGAAATGGTTGGTGTACAGTAAGAGCTTAATTACGTATCTAGTCTATTAACACGATCAAGTATTTTTGAAACTGTCGACCTTCCTTAATCTAATACTTTTAAAAGCATCGTTCATTTTTTCCCTATGCATTATCTGCTCTGAAACGTAGTTTTCATTCTTAATTTGACCGTTTTGTAATGGCTCTTTTGTTTCATTTTCAACGATATCTTTTTTCGGTTGTACAACTAAACCGTTTACGTGTGTTTCTGAAGATGGTCGCACAGATCTGCGAAGGAGAATATCGCTCAGTCTCGTTTTAAAATCTACTTCTTCGTCAGAAGATTTTGTAGTGCCCCTTTTAAAAACAGGAAGTTGTTCAATAGGTGTTTGGTCATCATATTCCAAACTAGTATAAGGCGACGTTACATTAATATCATTTTCTTGAGGTATTTCTGGTTTTGTTAATTTTTTAGGAGGTGGAATGCCCAATGTTTGACTAAATAACTTTTCCAATTTTGAAGAAATATTTCTATGCTGTTCACTTCCAAACGTAACGTTATCGTCAATTTTTGAATTTTCATTGGAATTTTCATCTGCAGTTCCATTACTAATCATTTCTAAATTGTCATAATCTACAGGTGGTATTTTTATGGTAATGTTTTCTTTGGAGCTATTGACCAAGTTTCTCTTTTGGATTTCATCTGCTAATTCTTCTACATTAACTTTGTTTTCTTGTGATTTCACAGTTGACACTGTTGAAAAGGAACTTTCGTGCTTTATAGTAACACGAGGAATTCTAGGTACAGTTTTGAAGTCTTTCTCGAACAATTCCATATTAAGCGGAGGTGGTGGAGGTATGTTTAATGGTTCATTTTCTTCGTTCACTTTATTAGGAATATCTGCAATTGTAGGATATTCAATTTCCTGAAGTTGTTCTTTAACTTTTTGAATTTCATTTTCATCCGTTTTTATTTCAACTGCAGGAACATTTTCGTTAGATTCTGCTAATTTATTTTCAATATTGCTATCATTTGATTCTGACTCGTTTTCTAACGTTACTTTTAAGCTGCCCTCTTCATTTTCAACCTTTATACTGTTGGTGTCTTCTTGATGTACCAAAGCAACCACTGACTCTTCTCGATAAATGTTTGATGCCAATGAAACGCTATCAAATGAAGAGTTTCTTTCCAAAGTAGTTTCTGATGCCTTTTCATCTTCATGATTTGATAACGTTTCTTGGTTTTCTTCTTCTTTTAAAATTATTTCGTCTAAAATAGCTAATACGTGACTAACGCTTGTAGTCTCGGAATTATTTGTATTTTCTTTTTTTACAAAAAGGTTTTGCTCTACAGATTTTTCTTCGTGCGAAGGAGAAGGTGGTGAAGGGGCTTTGGGTTTAATCCGCTTCTTTACAAAGCTTTCTCCTCTAACATAATTCTCGTATATCTTGGCGTCTCCATTTTGGATATATAAACCGACAGTACCACCATTGGTTTTCAGCATCTCGGGTTTTTCCTCTTCTATCGCGAAATTTTTATTCACATATCCGTTCTGTTTGTTGCTGTTATGATTCGTTTCAACATGCGTTAAATTGTTAGCGTACTTAACGGAAAATTGGTTAGCATCACTACTACAGCTGAATATAGAAATGAAGTACATAGGCATGCCTGAGAAAATAACGTGCTAACATGCAGTTTATTTACAGCATGCACAAAATACGGGTGTACTTACCCACAGCCATCCACACGGCGAAACGAATCCAAGTGACGGCGTCTAACATCAACATTAGGTAGACATTAATCACAATACTGAGTGCCGGTATCAGAGGAACGAGAGGGACCTAAGTTAGATAATTAATATTTACAAAACAGTATTAATTTTAATATGAAAGAGAATTTAAAAAAAGGGAAAGAAATTCAGGAATAAATCTAAAAGAACAAACAAATGAAGGGAACTGTTGATCACTTAATCAAATTGTTAGGTTTTAGAAATTAGAATCTTATGTTTAATTTTAAAAATTACCGCTGAACTTCTATTTATTAATTTTCGGTAAAATTATATGTGCACAAATTATATTTTAACTTTTATTTACATACCCAAAATTCCACAAAATCTGACTGTAACTGAGGATGGCACAATAGGTGGCAAAACGCGTTTTAAATTTATATAGCGTCTTATGTGAAATTTTGGACTGTAGTACTTTATTTAGTTCAATTTCACATAACTCTTTTCGATTTTCTTGTAAAAAACGTGTCTTGCCCACATTTGTAGTGTAAGACGCAAGAAACAAGTAGGGATAAAACAAAATATATGCATTTGAGAACCAACCTTAAAACGTAATTCTTTGTGCGACACTGGTTGTAAACTAAGTGATAACAACAAAAGTAGCAGAAACAAGCCAACGATTGAAGTTAAAATGATTGCCCATAATTTACCATGGGATATAGGGTTAATCAAATAAATTGCACACATTCCCAGAAGTAAACTAAATACACCTAAAATTCATTAAATTTAAAAATTGAAAAATAAACATTTAATAGACTTACAAAATAAAAATACTTCTATTGATACAAGCAATTCAGAGGTTTTGGTGGGAAATTTAATGTCGTGTATATTAAAAATCTGTTTCATGAAACCACTAAAAGTAACTTTTTGGAAGATTAAAATTGAATCATCTTGCGAGACAAGGTTTTCAGAGCTTCTTTCGAAATTCTGATTTTCAGTATACCTAAAAATGTCTAATTTAAACTTGCTGTTATTAGCAAAGCTATCAGACTTACCCTTCTAAGGGAGGAGCAATATTCTGAAAAGACTCCTCATCTCTTTGATATCTATAAATATCAAAATGAGAACTCAATTAGTAAACAAATCAGTTCATTGTACTAGCAATAAAATATAAAAAATGTAGCACTACAAATAAACTGCAAACTACCTACGAACTAACAGGAGAAGTATCAGTATTCTATTTTGTAGATGGTATAAAACAAAATAAACATAATTATATACTTTATAAAAGTTTATAAAGAAACATAAAACTATAACGTGTTGTATTTAAAGCGTAAAAAATGGAATTAGATATGTAAAATTAAACTGTTTTTAATAAATTTGTATTCTATTTTAAATTTAATAATACGAAATTATTTTGTTACCTTAAGATTAATACACAGGCTGCAACTAAAGTATAAGCCAAAAGCGTCCCAATAGACATCATACTGACAAGCTGTTTTAGTTCAAAGAGAGCGGCCATTAGTCCTAGAATAGACCACAAATCACTAACTACCATGCTTTAATTTATAATTTTAATGATCGTTTTGCTTACAAACCTGTTAATAAACCCGCTAGTAATGTTCCCACGACTGGGGTTTTAAATCGTGCATTTACCTTTCCCAAAAATTTGAAAATTATTCCATCAGAGGCCATTGCATAAATTATTCTGGGCAATGGAAATAATGCCCCAAACAAACTACCGAAAAAGATGATACTTTAAAATTTTAAATAAAATATTAAATATATTATTTCACCTGGCAAATAAACCAAACATCCCACCAACGGCCACAATCCATTTGGCGACCGACCACCCAACTTCCTCAAATGCATGCGGAATTGGAGCATTTATATCCTACGAATATGTAATAAGTTCATAATAACGGAGAGAATTTTAATTAAAAATTGTGTTATTGAATCAATTTTATTTTAGCACTGTGCTACTTCTATATTTTTAAAAACTACTGAAGTACTTTATTTTTTAACAAGCAAATTGATTCTTACTTGTAAATAATAAGGAACCATCATTGTAATCACTGTTGCCGTACCAAAATAGGCTAAGAATATTATAGCTAGAGATGAAATTATAGCAATGGGAATAGCCTTTTGGGGATTTTTTACTTCTTCGCCAGTTGTTGCTATACAATCAAATCCAACAAACCCATAGAAGCATGTTGCAGCTCCTTTTATCATTCCTTCAATTCCAAATGGGAAAAAACCGCCATTCTCTATACTTGGATCTGAAGTATTTGATGCTACTTTCCAATTTTCCGGATTTGCTAAAAAAATATATGCACTTCTTAATAACATACCTTTTGTTTTTATATTAAAATATTATACCCCAAAAAGTGTCA